TCATAGAAAAATGGATACATATTGAGGATATATTCCTAAGTGAAATAAATCACACATGTATAAATACCAAATAGTTTATCTGGTGTGAAAAACTATAACAGTACATAAGATCCTAATGAGATAATTGACAATGTGAAATAGGAAGAAAAGGGCTAAAGGTGTAGGGAAAATGGGAAGGGTAGGGGAAAGGTAATAAGGGAAAAGAAAAAAAATATGAGAAAATGAAAAAATGGAAATAAAGTATTTGTAAATGGGGAGGGGAGGAGGGGGAAAAGTGAGGGCAGGGATAAGGGGGAAAAAAAATGAGAACCAAGACCTATTATGTAAAGGTAAAAGATCCCAATGATGAATGTAACTATACTGTATACCTAAAATGTACCAATAAACTAAAAAAGAAAAGAATGAGAAACTAGAGACATTTATAGCTAAGTGGATGCACATTGAGGCAATACTTTTAAGTGAAATAAATAGGACAGACATGTGTAAGTAATGAATAGTTTTTCTGGTGTGAGAAACTGAAAGTATAAATAAGGATTGAAATGAATAATTGATAATATGAAATAGGAAGAAAAGGTCTAAAGGGTAGGGGAAGTGGAAAGGGTAAGGGAAAGGAAAGAAGGACAAGAAAAATATGAAAAGGGGAAAAATGGAAACAAACGCTCTGTAAATAGGGAGGGGTGGAGGGGTTGAAGGAAGGACGGGGGAATGGGCAAAAAATAAGAACCAAGATACATCATGTATAGGTACAAGTTCCCAATGATGAATGTAACATATTCTATACCTAAAATGTACCAATAAATTTAATGAAAAAAAGAAGAAAATGTAAGTTCTGGCCTGTGTAGTAAAAAATCCAGTCAAGTCTCTAATGTACTGAACTAGCCTCACCTTATTTATATGTCACCTTCTCTGTGAAGGGTTTAGCTGGGACCAGCCATCTAGCCAACACAAGTATGCCTCAGTGGCTATGCCTCCTATAGGAATCAATGAATGCGCCGAGGATTTAGCTTGGTGGCACTGCTCCTACCATGAAAGCTCAAGGTCCTGAGTTTGATTCCTAGTACAAAAAAAAATCAATGCATGAATAAAAACAGATGAACTATTAGAGAGGGAAAAAGTTTTGAAGAGAAAAGGTGGAATAAAGAGGAAGAAGCAGGACTCAACTGTTTATAAATCAAAGTAGTATGGAAATACTGTAATAATTTAAAAGAACTGAGAGGGTAAGAGTAATATGAGGGGGTTTAGGGAGAAACAAAAGATGAAAAATATGACATAAAACAAAAATATTGAGATGGTTCAGTGATGTTTCTGAATGAATGAAATTAAATTTACATATAATTGAAGCATTTGAAGAGTTAATATTTTTCAGTGCTTTCTATGCACCACAGATTTTACATATATTTATTTCTATTTAACTCTCAACAGCTCTAAAAGGGATAGTTCACAATAATCTCCATGAAAAGACAGAGGAATAGAGAAATGAAATCATTTACCTGAGCTCTAATTCTCTCCCTGAGTCCAAAGCCAGAACCAAACCATCTCAGTTGAAAGTTGCTGAATGTAAAAGTAACCTATTAAAATTTATTTGAATATATCTTTCAGTTTTATTTTTATAACAAATATAGATACAAAATGGAGCAGTATGTTTGCAATTGTATCCATAAAGATAAGTATGCTAAGTAAAATCCACACATTTTTAAGCATTTATGGGCAATTCAGATAGAATTGCGAATGTTTCTTTGAATTTATGCATTAAATTGAACAATCCACATATCTTTCAGTTCTGTTTTTGTACATTATCTTGTATCCACCCTCATTTCCTATAATTGGATCCTTTAATCTTCTATGTGGCCTCTGCAAAGATGTTTTAAATTTTAAAAATTTTTTATTTTTACTAGTATATATTTGCAGTACATAATTATTACATTCATCTTTGGGAGTTGGTACATATACATAACATATCTCAATTCTTTTTTATACCCCTTCCTTCCCACTTCTATCTCTTGGTCTCCTCTTCCCCTTTACAAAAGGTCTATCTCCCTGTTTATGATTATTTATCTCCACAGATACTAGCATATCATTGGCTGCTCTTTTGGATTGAATGTGTATTAGGCATTTAAGTATATTTGTTACTATAGTGTGCTACGTCAATAATATAGAATACCAAATAAATGATATCTAAACATTTCTAGAAAGTAAAATAGCTATTTTCAGATACTTTATATGAGTGCTAATTTCAAATGTCTATACCATTATTTTAAAAACAGCAAGTCTACCCTCTACAGTTTATGGCTAAAATACTACATTCCTTCTTACAGAAGGAGAACTAGGTTTAATAGGTAGAAGTCAAAACAAGTATAAATATTCATTGTTTCTTTATATTGTTTATATTTGATTTTGTGACTTTAGGGGCCAAATGCAGAGTTGGTACAATTCATTTCTAGCAATATTGTTGAACTTGAATTAGTATTTCCCTGCTTATACAGCGACAAAGAAGTTCATCTTGAGATAAGTCTTAACCATAGAAATCATGGCATATAACATTTTTTTCTGAGCAAGATGCAATGGTGTATCCTTGTAGGTCTTGCTACTTGGGAAGTGGAGACAGGAGGGTCCCTTGAGATGAAGAGTTCAAAATCAGTCTGGGCAATATAGTGAGGCCCAGTCTAAAAAGAAAAAAAAAAAGTTTGACAAATGTACAAGAACAGAAGAAATCCAGATCTATTCTTTCAGCCTTATATGGCATGCTCATATGTTTTGACCCCAAAGCTCTGTAGATATCATTCCCTGGTATTTGTTGACAGAATTTCAGAACAGAATGTGGGACATGACATACAGCCTAATGATTTTTCCTGTTATAGATAATGTAGGGAAAAATACTAGGTCATTTATGCATTCAGGCCAAGAAATGAAATATTTATTAAAATCTTAGAGACTTCCAAGTATACTTTTTCAAAGCCATTAATTAAAATTTTTTTTTCACTAACTTTATTGGTACATTTAAAGCAAACAATACAGTTACATTTATCATTGGAATCTTGTACCTTTACATAATATATCTTGGTTCTTGTTTTTTCCCATACCCCTGCCCTCCCTTCACTCCCTTCACCTTTCCTTATTTACAAAGATTTTGTTTCCATTTTTGTCTTTTTTCACATTTTTCTTTTCCCTTATTTCCTTCCCCTCCCTTTCCCACTTCCACTTTAGCCCTTTTCTTCCTATTTCACACTCCCAATTATACCATTTGAACCTTATTTACACATTTAGTTTTTCATTCCAGAGAAACTATTCAGTATTTACTCTTGTGTCCTATTTATTTCACTCAAGTGTGTGGCCTCAATGTCCATCTATTTAGCTATAAATGTCTCTAATTTCTCATTCTTTGTGGCTGAATAGTACTCCATTTTATAGAAAAACCACATCTTTATCCAGTCTCCAGTTGATGGGCAATAGGCTTGTGTCCAAATTTTAGCTATTATGAACTATGGTGCTATAAACATGGGTGTGCATATATCACTGTGATATGATTCTTTCAGTTTTTTTTGGAAAGACACCAAGCAGAGGGATAGCTGGGTCAAATGGAACCTCTAATCCTAGTTCTTTGAGGTATCTCCATATTGATTTCCACAGTGGTTACAACAATCTGCATTCCCACCAACAATGGAGAAGGGTTCCTTTCTCCGCACAACTATGCCGGCATTTGTGACTGGTCGATTTCTTGATAGCAGCCATTCTTTGTGGGGTGAGGTGGAATCTCAGTGTTGTTTTCAACTGCATCTCTCCAATGACCAGTGATGTTGAATGTTTTTTCATATATTTAGTTGCTGCTTTTACTTCTTTGCCTGAGAAATGTCTGTTCATTTCAGATGTCCATTTTTGAATTGGCTGTTTATATTTGGGGTTTCTGATTTTTTTGAGTTCTTTTGTTTGTTGGTACAGTGGATTGAACTTGAGAATTTTTTGAGTTCTTTATATATATTCTAGATAGAACCCATTTGTCTGAGGAGTAGGTGGTAATTTTTTTCCCACATTGTAGGTTGTCTCTTACCTGTTGGTGATTTCTTTTACATTGCAAAAACTTTTTAATACAATGAGATTCCAGTTATTGGTTCTTTGCGCAAGTTCTCGTCCTGCTGAGGATTTGTTCGTAAAATCTTCTCCTATGCCAGTGTCTTTGAGAGTTCTACCTAATTTACTTTCCAGTAAGTTTAGTGTTTCTGTTTTGATATTTAGATCTTTAATCCACTTAGGTTTCAATTTAGTGCATGCTGAAACATCGGGGTCTAGTTTTAATCTTTAGCAGGTTGAAATCCAGTTTTTCCAACCTCATTTATTAAAGTGGCTATCTTTCCTCTAATGAGGATAGTTGGCTCCTTTGTCAAAAATGAGGTAGGTGAGCACATCTGTTGTTTCTGCATTTTGTAACCTGTTCCATTGATTCCCCTGGTCTGTTTCTTTGCAAGCGCCTTGCAGTTTTTATCACAGTGGTCAAAGCCATTTAGTATAAAAACACAAAAACCAGTGTTTCTAACCAAATTTTACAATAAAAATCAGGCTCCTAAATTATTTAGAAATGAGTAATAAATACATATATGTGTTCTTAGCGTTGCAACAATATGTAGCATCACTTTTACTTTCTTATTATTATTCTTCGAATGAATTGTAAACTTGTCATGTTTTCACAACCTTAAAGAATGTGGTATTTAAAATAACCAAGAAAGTAGTTTAGATAAAGTATCCACATACCAGAAAACTTTCAGGGCAGAGATATACAACTTTCTCTGACTGAAAACAGGGGGGAAAATACTAATGGGTGAGAATGATTTAGAAATTAGAATCTTTGTATCTTAGTTTGCTGAGGATACCATTACAATTTTCTACAGACCAGGTGGCTTAAATAGCAGAAATTTATTTCTCACAGTTCCAGAAGCTTGAAGGCCAAAGATCAAGGCACTAACAAGCTAGGTTTCATTGAATTCTCTACTCTTGACTTGTAGGAGTCTGCCAGCTTGTTGTGTCCTCAGAAGACAGGTTCTTTGTGCTAATGTGGACAGAGTGAGCATGAGTTCTCCAGTGTTTCTAATCCAAACACAAGGACCAGAGGCACCATCTCCAAACACATCACATTGGGAATTAGAACTTCAACGGATGAGCTTTGGAGGTATACAAACTGTCTGCAATGTAGTATAGGCATGTGTGATATAGGTTTCAATACTGTTGCCTTTGAAGCTGTTTATTTTCATCTAGATAAAACATGCAAATAAGATGCCTGTGTTATGGCTCACTGGTTGCTCAACTATACCTCCCAATAATTTGATTATCAGTGATAAAGTGAGTAGAGCACTTGTTCCCTTTGTTGATAGCCAGCATTGTATCTGATTGGTCAGTGTCCATTGTGTACATGTCGTTAAAGATTTTAACTGTTACCTCCTGATTATATATATTCTTTTTTAGGTAAATATTTTCTTCATTAGAGCATATAAATAGATCAAAATATGCAGAAGTGGAAAAATAAAAAATAATTAGCTCCTATTCTCATTAGTCCTTAAATATTGGCATTTTCTGATTTTGATGCAATTCAAGCTTAAAAATAACTAAGTGCTCTTGAATATTGAAAGTTAGAGTTATAGATCTCTTGAGTATGAATTAAAACTTTTACTGAGGTAACATTTATATAAAATTAGCCTTTCTTTTTTTGGTGGTGTTGAGGATTGAATCCAGGGTCTTAAGCACGCTAGGCAAATGCTATACCATTGAGCTACACCTCTTCCCCAGAATTAACCATTTTAAAGTGAATAATTCAGTGGTTCACAACATTGTGCAGTCACTGCCACTGTCTAGTTCCGCAACTTTTTCATCACCTGGAAACAATGCCATCCTCATTAAGCAATTGCTCTCTGTTTCCTCTTCAGTTGCTCCTGGGAACTACTAAGATACTTTCTGGATGCATTTGCCTTTTCTGGACATTTCACACAGGTGGAGTTACACTACAAGTAACCTCATGGGTTTATTTTCTTTCAAGTAGTGTCATGTTTTCTAGGTGTGTCCATGTTGTAGCACATATCTGCATTTCATTCTTTTTGTTACTAAGTCATATTCTATCATATGTGTATATCTTGTTTATTTGTCTCTTGTGTACATTCAGGCAGTTTTTTCCTTTTGGTTATTGAGTTAGAGTACAGAAGGTCCAATTAAGAACCTGAATTCCTCCACCTGTGAGTCTACTCGACAGTATAAAATTAACTACCCTGGAAGGAGCATTTTATTACTTGATGTGTCTGTGTCCTTGGCTGTGTTGCTATGGTTGCTCTTTCCCTATTTGAAAGTTAATGGAAGAATTAGTCTCATATACTCAGTCTCCAGAACAGAAAAAATTAATCAGGCCCTACAACATGGCATGCTGCTTTGCTTCTTCCTCTAGCCTGTGATCATTTCTTTCCTAAATAGAGTATCTTTAGTCTCTACTTTTGCATTCCTGATTTATTTCCATCTAGCATTTGTCATCCATGCACTTGGTTCTCTGAGTAATCTGACACATGCAATTGTATTTTTTTCCTAATTTAGACCATCCTATGGAATGGTTTGGTATTGGGAAACTCAGCTACCCTAATTACAACTTTAAAAACCACTCCTTTTCCCCAGGCATAATGGTAAATGGCTGTAATCCTAGATACTCAGGAGCCTGGGACATGAGGAGAGTAAATTTGGGGCCAACCTGGACAGGTCATTGCTCCCTAGGTTCAATCCGTAATACCACAAAAACAAAACAGATAATACAAACAGACCAAGATCAACAACAACAAAACCAGACACTTGTGTTGTGTTGTGCTGAAAAGCAGGGCCTCATGCATGCTAGGCAACTACTCTACCATTGAGCTATACCTCCAGCCCAGTCAACTAGTCTTATGCTCAGTTTTTGGGCTTGGTGGCAAAATAATATATGTTAGTTACATAAACCATTTCCTGAAGATGTTATTTCCCTGACATAACAGAATGTCTCAATCCAGTTAAGCTCTTTTTTTTTTCTCAAGAAGAGTTGTGAGAATTTTCTACATGGTGAGGAATAGTAAATAGATGACCTGAAGGTGCCCCCCAAATCATACTATGTAGCAGCTGGCTTTTCTGATCTATGGAAGGCCTTTTCTGTTAGCTTTATAATATCTATATCCCTCACATTTCTACTCAAGGTAAATTTATTTGGGGTTGTTATTCAGCCTTGAATTGCTCCCCAAGTTTTTATCATTCATATTCTAAAGCTAGGACTGGGAAAGTGGCTCAATGGTAGAGCACTTGTCTAGCATGAATGAAGCCCTGGGTTTCATCCATAGCACCAGAAAAAAAGAAAAAGATTCTACAGCTAGAGTAGGCAATGTGGATATGTCCTTATACGGCACTAATTTACCCACTAGACCAGTGATGGGAAACTGTTTAGAGCTTTCAGTGATGCAGGGCCCACTGTGGCATGCGTGACTTAAGTTTGCCCCTACTGCACTAGACAGACTGAGCACATGTTTGCTAACCTGGGCCACAAACATTTTAGAGGGGCGAGGAAATGTAGTATTTATTATTGTATGCAAAGCATGGAGACAGTCATATGGGAAAAGGTAAATATGTCTTAGACATATTTATTAAATTGATAATATATCATTAGATTATTTTAAAAACTGGCATATAATATAATTGACTTTTGGAATATACTGCTCTGTGGATTGTAGTGTATCATTTTAATTTAAATTTTAAATTCTATATAAAATGGAGGCACTGTAATCTTTTCATGGCTTTGTGCTTCCTCTAGAGGTTTTAAACCAGTCCTGTAACTCAGGTATTTACAGGTAAAAAATGAAAATGGAAATTTGTGAAAACTCATGACATTTCTACCATCCTTCATCTCACATTTAAAATTAAATACAAAGTTACAAATAGAGCATTTGACTACCAGCCTCCTTTTTCCTTCTTGAGTTGCATGGTAACTTATGCTAATCAGCTCATTCTATGATCAATTGAAAAATAAATAATTTCCATAATTTCAAAGATTATGGTTTCTGAAATGTGAAATATTTATTACTTGCCTTTAATCTTAGAAAACTTTGTAAAGGTCTTTGAAAATGTTGGAGATGGGAAAAACAGTTTTGATGATGCAAGATATATCTTATTTGAAACTTAATAGCTTTTCTTCTTGTTCCCAGGATTAAGCCCAAGGCCTTATGCATGCTAAGCAAGCACTTAGCCACTGAGCTACACCCCCAGCTCCAAAACTTCACATAAGTATGTATCACCTTATTTTTCAAGTTTCATTTTGGCATGGCAATTTGCATATTGAGTCATATGCTAAACTGATCTTATTTTTCAATGTCATTTTGACCTAGTACTTGATGATTATCAACCTCCTGTGTTCCATATATCTATGACCAATCTGTAATGCAGAAAGCACATTTATTTTAAGGTGAGATTTTAATTTCTGCTTTGTAGTTTAGAAAATTGAGTGAAATTATATTTTATAAATATTAACTGAGTCTCTGTTACTTTCCATACAGTGTTAGGCAGTGAAAGAGAGGTACAGAATAAAACACTGTGTTCCTGACCATGTGAATATTAGATTTTATTGTGTACCCATTTAGTTATTTGTCAGTTCATGTTCCTTCACTCCTTGTGACAGAAAATGTGCTCTGTCTCACTTTGTACACAAATATTCAAACTATTTGCTGAACTATATTTTTGCTTAAATTTAGATAAAACTAAGTCATCTTAATCTCTAATACTGAAGATAGTTTGTGGTGGAACTTGACTATGAGTCCAAACCTATAAGCAGCTTAATTTGTTATCAGAAATCTTTACTACTGTATTTCTATTAGAATTTCTAGCAATGAAATCTTCTGACCAGATCATTAGGTTAGTGTACTGATGTTTTCCCATATGATGAGAAGTTGCACTTGAATGAACAAGCTAGTGAATGGGCTTTTCGTAAAGTGGAAGAGGTATGTTACATACACAGAATGACAATGGTACAAGTTAGGGAACAGGAGGTGCAAATGTCTTAACGCAGAAAAAGCATGAGTGATCTTAAGGGGAGAAGTTCAGTTTGACTAGAGTAGCATGTGGGATGCCAGTGGGGATTAACATAAGATAATGCAGAAAAATTTTGTTCACTGAGGTATACAGTGGAGCTCAGTATCCCAGTCAGTATTTGGCTAAGCTGTTGACTTTAATTAACACAGATAAAATCTTTCCTTCACAGCTTCCAGAACATGCTAACTATCTCCCCAAGATGCTCCACAGCAAGCATATGGAAGAGTTTAGCCCATCACATGAACTCTATAATCAATGTGGAGGTGTTCTATTGATTAGGCGGCAAAAGGTTCTTCAGTCATACACTACTAGATGTGGGTTATATGCTGGCACTGTAGTTTGTTTAAACATACTAACAATCTCTGTGGGTATGATTTTTTAAAAATGGTATATTATCTGTTATGTCTGGGATTTTGAACAAAAGATATTTAAGTCCCTCTCACTCTAGCCTTCCCAAAAATAAGGGTGCTTGTATAGACTGAGGATAACTGTAGGCATGAAACCAATCCTATGTCTTGGCACAAAAAAAAATAGCACATAGAAGAAAGATGAAACAGGGAATTATATTTTCCAGAAGTCTTTTTACAATTGATTTTCATACATTTAACGGCTTGAGATTTTTAACATCTAGCACAGTCTGGAGGCAAGATCTCCACAAAAGCTGATTCTGAGAATCTGTTTCCAATTATTTATCCATGTAAGAAATATTACTTGATTGCTCATCATGTGCCAGGCCCTATACTAAACTGCAGGGACAATGGCTGGATAAAATAAAATCTCTGCCCTCATGGAGCTTGCAATCTTTTGAATGATATTTTATAAAAATATCTCTGTGTTCTACCATCACATGCTCATAATTAGCCATAGGAAAATTCAAGCAGATTAAAGAGATAGAGTGAATGGGCTAATTTTTTTTCATGATAATCACAGGAGCCACACCTAAAGTAGTGTTTTAGTAGAGACATTAATAATGTAGTGTGTGAGTACATTTTGTGAAGGTTCCAGGGGAAGATCTTTCCAAAGTAACAAGGGAGCAGCCAATTTGAGGTGAGAATGAATTTGGTATGTTCTCAAAATGGCAAGAAGAGTGCTGTTGGAGCAGAGTGTATAAAGCAGCAGGATGTGGACACAATAAAAATTGCACAAAAGAAAAATTATTTAGGGCCAAATTGCCTCATGATTGAGATTTTAGATTGGATTAGAAAGGACTGAAAAGACTTTCAGCCACTGAAAAGACTGAAAAACAGAGTAACATGATCTGGTTTATAATTTACAACCCTCTGCTTGCTTTTTACCTGTGTGTATAGGTTAATATATTCCCAATGATGAGTTGACAGAGCCTCCTAAAAAGACTTCTGAATCTTTCCTCTTTAGGCAAAAGGAAATTTGGCTGAAGTGCACACCTTGGGAGAACTCAGTAATGTTGCAGTTGTCTTTCTTCAGGATTTGAGTTTTCTTTTTTTCTTTTTATTGAGTTTATTGGTACATTCTAGGTATACAGTACAGTTACATTCATCATTGGGATCTTGTACCTTTACATGACAGGTCTTGGTTCTCATTTTTTCCCCTTGTCCCTGCCCTCCCTTTACCCAGGATTGGAGTTTTCATGCCCACCTCTTGGGTGGACATGGTCCAAGGCCTCTCATTAGTGGCTGTCTAGAAGTGATCTACTCAGGTTTAAGGACACATGCACATTCTATTACTTGGTTTCCTCCTGTCCTTAAGCCTGTGTGTGGGATAGATGTGTCTACATTTGTTCTGACTTGGTGTCATTACATTACTTGGACTCTTTAAAATAATTACTGACTCAATAGTAGGGCTCCTGGTATCATGATACTTGCTGTTTGCCTTGTACTAACACCCTAATTTCAAAGCATATTTGCAAATAATCCTCAGGTAAAAGCCTCCATTTTTTCTTCTGAAAGGTAAGCGTTTACCTGTAATACAATTTAGAACACAGAAACTTCAACTCACTACATCCTTCTAGGAATAACTTTCATTTTTTTTCTCTTTCAGGGAAAAACTGAGAAGTGATGCTCTTTAGCGACTAAATGGCAGAACCAGATTTAGAACTGAGTAAGAGCTATCTGTGAAATGTAGGAAACTTTGTCATTGTATGTTGTTTTGTTGTTAAAGATATTTTGATTTGCCACTTAGAATTTTACCTTCCTCAGTATCCAGACTACAAAATTTGCCAGAGTTTATTTAGTCCTGTTTTCAACAGTCATCCAGGAGATTCAGTTTCTGTTTTTCTGATGAGTAGTGTTCAGTAACATGGAGAAGTCTTAAGAGTGACTAGCATTTTCACTGATTTTTTCATCTACTTGAACATTTTTTACTCATTTATTTGTAAGAGTTCCATGCCTTGAACAAATATAATTACCTGCTGTGGAGAGAAGAGAGTTAATGATAGATTACTTTTTCTCCGGGCCATCTCAGTTCTTTCACTTTCTTCTGGTTACATCCGAAGCATGGATATACTATATTTATACTTTAAAAGACAGACATTGTGCCATGAAATTGAGGTGGTTCAGTTGTCCTATTATACTTACAAAGGCGCTTCCCCAAACATCCTTTAAATTTCAGTTTTTATAAGAATATTTTCAGAATAAAAGTAATTTTCATATTTGTATGGCAAAATTTAGCTCATCAAGAAAATACATTATTAGGTGTTCATTATTAAATGAAACTAACAAAACTAATATGCTGAAACCTTTTCATTTAGTACTGCCAGACTAGTGCTTAACTATGCAGTCTGTTCTCTTGTGCCTAGGTTAGTAACCCCAGTTTGCTTTTCTGTTTAGTTTCTTGAGTAATTTTAGTTGGAGGTTGGAGAAGAGGTGAGAAGAAAGTGCCATTTAGTGTTTTGGTTCTTAAATAGGATGCTGCCTAACCAAGTTAATTTCCATGTTCTATTGACTTTATTGCTATCCAGGTGATTGAAAGAAAACAAAATGGACGGGCACCATTAAAACCAGCTCAAAATAATATTGTTATTGGTAAAGATTTCTTGTCAAGATGTCTTGGCTTGCACTTTTGTTGAGGGAAGACAGTGTAAATAGTCGAAGAATGTTGATAAATTGAAACTTTTGGTTATGGAACTGTGTGTAGGGTTAGAGGCTTTCTGTTTGTGAAATGTATGTGTTAAAAATAAAGTTTCAGAAGTTAACATCATGAGAAAAATTATTTAGTCCTGTTTTCAAAAAAACTTCCCCATTGTCACTTTTATTTGAAAATGTATTTTAAAATTTGTTACTTATTGGAAAATAAATGGAGAGTATTTTTGTTGTTGTTCTTGTTGTAGACATTGTGAAACTAAACAACCAATGGTAACATTAGTTTGAACTTTACCTTGGAACACATTCATGAAGAACAAAGGAAGCCTGACTAATCCTTCTGACTATCTCCAGCTACTTATATCAAAGACCCTTTGACACAAGCAAGTTATGACTTGTGCATTACTTATTGTAGCTTGGATCCATCTTTCAGGTTTTATATTACTTACAATGGAGATTTTACCGTGATTCCTGTCTTCTATCTGTTTTTCCAGTTGTTCCAACCATTATTTTATTTCATTCAGATTCCTTATCTTTCAAACCACATTATTTGGGAGGATGAGCCACGGACTGAATCAGACTGATTGTCAATTCTAATTTGAGAAGAAGGTTTGAGAAATGCAGCAGTGCTGCTGTTCATTGCTCAGTATTCTGAGATATCATTGCTATGGTTCTCAAAGTTTTTGAAACTTTACAAAGAATCTTGGAGAGCTAATCTGATTGAGGTATATTATTTCAGGTAGATCTTGTAAAAGATTGGTAGACTCCCCCCAAGCTGATGTAGACTTTGTTGAAGTAAGATGCTTTTGGTTTGTTTAAGTAATATAAGGAATTGAAGGCAGCTGACTGGAGACAATATGCCTTTGTTATAATGCAAAGTTTACCATTGGCCAATTTTCCAACCCAGAGAGCCACATAGCTGACTTCCATTATTTTGGAAAGAGCATGAGAATGGGCAAGGTCCACAATGAGGACTCCTTTTGTGCACAAAAAATTTCTTCCATGCAGTCTGCAGATGGAATTCACCCGGTCATCTTTAAAAATGAAATATTTTAAGCTGGAGAAAGTCAGGTTAGATATATTGTCTTTGATTTTAGGTGGTATTTGGGTTGTAGGTGTTAGAGAAGTGACTGGCACACTTTTTACACTAGGGGTCTAGATAGTAAATAGTTTGATTTCTGTGGCTCTTATTGGGTCTATTATGACTATTCAGTTCTGGTGCTGTAGTACGAAAGCTGCTAGAACAATGCACATACACCTCTGAATGGGTGTGAATGTGGTCCAATAAAACTTTGTTTACAAAGACACTGTATGTCTAATTTTGTTCATGTGGTATTGCCTACTGACCTTTGAATTACAACACTTAAAATAGAGGGTTCTTAACAGAATGATTTCCACACAACCAAAGGACATCATGCAAGTATTTGACAACAGAGAAATTGTCTTGAAACAGGGTAAGTACTTTATAGTTGCCTATGGACCCTATTGTCCTAATTCTAAGAGTCACTTTACTATTGCTTTTGGACTTGAGTGATATTTTACTCTTGCTAATAAGGCTGAAACTTTTGATATTCATTTTTCATCAGTCTCATCTCATAATACCTTTAGACATAGCAAGACTTCACATTTTACAAGATCAGAATTTCTAGACATCTCACATGTAGCAAATTTCACCAAGCAACTAGTGATGTCAAAAAAGGTCTTTATGGGAGCCATTCAAAGTACAATAAGTCCCCGACTTACAAACAGGTTCTTCTCTGGGAAAATGTTCCTAAGTCATATTCACTTGAAAGTCTGACAAAGCGAGTCTTATGCACCTTTGACACAAATATACAATGTATATTCCTTTGTGTTTCCCAGCAGGTCCTTCCACATCACCACTGCTTTTCTGCCTGCTTCTGGACATCCTGGGCTTATAGCAATGTAATACTGTACTCTATCACACTGTATAGTAAGTACACAGCAGCACATTTGTGACAATGTCCAAAAGACACCTGAGCTATTTCCATGATTTATTTATATCTATGAAAGTTCTCAATGGAAGGTCTCCTGTGTATCTGTGAAAGCTCTCAACTAAAATGTTCATAAATGGGGGACTTACTGTAGAATAAAAATTCATTTTAATGTTTCCCACTCCAGTTTCTAATTTTGCCCTTGGCTAAATATTATTTTATATTGTTTTGCTCTGTTCAAAGTCTTTTAGAAATCATTTAAATAGTTTCTTGTCCCCACTAAGCCCTGAACAGTACTTATTTATTATTGGGCATCAGAATAGCCATGTGTAACTATTCTGCTTTTTCATTGAGCCTACAGGGAGAATATGCTCCAATAGGTACTTTCACATATGCTTTCACATTTAATATAATTTAATTATTTTTACAGATGAATCATAAAGAAGATAAAGTTACATACCCAAGGTCACCCAACTAGTTCAGTACAGGCAGTCTTCAAAAACAGGTCTGTTCAACTCCAAAGGCTATGCTTTTCCCACTACATCACAATGTCTGCAGGAAGCTACTTGCAGTTCTTGGCAGGCTTGCCATTTTTTAAAACCGTTTAGGTTTTCAAGTAAATCACAGGAGAACTGAATAGCATAATATTCAATTATTTTTCTATATTTTGGATGGACATGTTTTCAAAAGGAAATATGGTAGTGCTTTTGTTTAAACAACCATGGCTATATAACTAGAAAATTTCCAAAGAAGGGTGACTTCCAAAAATTATTTACTTTCTTGGCATTCCCCACGCATTCTTTTTGAATGCAACTACATTTCCCATCTTTCTTGTTCAGCAAAGAATCATATGCTAATAAAATGTTTTGAAAGGTGTGGCTTAGTAATGTTCTTTTCAGATCTGAAATAACCAGACTTCCTGGCATCATAACTTCAAGTTGTGATAGAGCCAGCTGATAAGTTACACATTCTGAAATTGACTTTTGTTGGGGTGTAGTTCTATATGAGCCCTGATTGTGGATACAAGCTAAGAAGCTAATGCCAAAGTCTTAAGTTACAGCTCTGTAAATGTATTTCTTTTCATAAGTGACAAATAAATTTCTTTCTATCGAGATGAGTTTTTTGTTCTTCTTGGCTGAGTGAAAAATATAATAGTGAATCACTGCATGATAGAGAGTGGAGATAGAAGAGCTTACACTTAAAAAATAGTTATAGCATGTATGACTCCCAGACCTCAATCACAGTTGTACAAAAATAGATTTATTTTCTATAATATCTCATTTCAGATTTTGACCCCTAATTGTGGGGCTCAATGAGAGGGTACTGGTGGGGAAAACAAACCAAACTCAGCCCTTAGGGTCTGATCCTTCAGGCTAGCAGTGTGATGCTTTGGAAATCCTGTGTAATGCTGAGGTACTGGGGGACACGGTGTGAGGGGCAGTGGTGAGGGAACAGGTATATAGTTGTTAATTACAGATCTAAGCAGATCACTGCTGAGTTCTGCATTCTTGATCCACAAAGGCCCTTCAGGTCAGGTGTCTTCGTCTCCTTTCCTGGTACTTTTGGGGCTCAAGAAACTGCCAAATCTAGACCTGCCTGCTCAGAAATACCTCATAGCCTCTGCTTTCTAGGCTGTTGATTCTTCCCTAATGGAACTGCCAGAATGAAGGAAAGGTCTTTGGTTCCCTTCAAGAGCCTCTTAAGCCTCAGCCCTACCCCTCATGTCCAATGCAGAAGGATCACTTTCCAGTCTAAGGAAAAGCCTTCTCCTTTTCTGAATTTTAAAGCTTTTCTGCCCCTGTGGAATTTCTTCCTATATGGGTTTAGATTACTTGAATCCCTAGCCTTACAAAACACTCCTTGTTTTTTGCTGAATTACTCTACTTCTTTCCCTGGATAGTTAGAACAGAGCCCACTACCTACTTACATTGGGGCAGTTAGTGTTGGAGTGGGATGGAGGATGGGATATATAGGGAAAATATATAAGGGTATATAAGGGTAAAAAAGCTTGCAAATACAAAATACCAGGGCTTATGCTTATTTATATATAATAGAACCCCGACTATAGGAGGTTATTTAATAGGATTTTATTTTCTTTATATTAGGAACTATATGGAGGCAGACTATCCACAGCTGTTTAAATGCCTTCTCAATGTCCTAGACTCCTCCTGTCTTTCTACTGTATCATTCTTTGCCTGCTTCTGTCCTCAAGCTTATCACCTCATGGCCATGAGACAGTGGCTTTATATCCCTCCTCAGAAGCACAGTCCAAGACAGGAAAAGAAAAAGGATATGAAAGGGAGGACCTGCTTCTGCCTATATTGAGAAAGAAAATGCTGCCAGAAAATTTTAATAAACTTCTTCAATCTTCCAGAATCATGGTTACCCTAGACTTCAAGAACACTTTAAGAACATTGATTTTCTTCTGGGAACATTGCTATACTTGGCAGAATTAAATTCTTTTATTAAGAAAGAAGGGAGAAATCCACATTAGACTACTAATTGGATTTGTTACATGTGATGCTATTCCTATATAGGAAAAAAAAACAGCAGCCAATCCTTAATTCTCTTTCCAAATAAAAGACTGAATGATTGATAGGCTATAAACTAAAGTGTTACCAGTGTATATATTTCAGTGGCAGATTCCAGCATGTTTAGTCTTATTGATACTTTTTTGTATGCTCTAAGTTTTCTTTAGTGAAATATAACATTCTCAAAACTAGAGAAACAATGTTTTTAACCCAAATACAGAAATTTCATTGCTTTTGTGATTATAATAGTGAACATTTGAAAAAACAACCTATGCATTCATCAATAAAGAGCTGGTTAAATAAATTATGGCATATTCATTAGTGTGACATCATAAAAGCTTAAAAATTAAATATTTGTAAATTGTGGTTGTCAAAAATGTTCAAGTTATATGAAGTGAGAAAAAGCAAGTTTCAGAATATTTTGATGCTTTTTATTCTCTTAAAGTATAAAGAGATTTGGGTAAGGTCCGGAAATCCTTATAAGCATTAAAGGAGGTGGGCAACACTGTATGAGAAATAATTAACCATTTTCTTGGAGAAACTGTGGAGGGAAGGGAGTATACTTGACTATTTAAAATGGATACATTTATTACTTAAATCCTTTTGTAATGAGGCTATATTTGTTATTAATGTAAATATATTGAAAATAAACCAAAAATTCAAAATAGTC